CGCTTCCCACGACGGATATCTTGCCGTGCCTGTCATCGTCGCCGCGCCTCATCAGCACCCAAATCTGAAAACACACAGCCACGTAAAAACAACCAACCGCGCCTCATTAGCACCCAAATTTGAAAACACACATGCACGTAAAAACAACCCATTTTTTTACTAAAATCACACATAGCTAATAAATGACTAAAAAGAGCAATAATCATACTAAAATCACACATAGCTAATAAAAGACTAAAAAGAGCAATAATCATGAGAAACAGAACTACCTTCGGCAAGAAACCTCCCATCAACAGCACCAACCGAGGAAGAGGAATCCAACGACGTGGAGAGAACACGCTGGGAAGCACGCGCACCGGAACGAACCATAACAGAGATGGAACGAACAAGAAGAACTCAGCAAGACGGACATAAACAAAGACTCCCCTCCCTCCTAACCGCGCACAAAATCTCAGGCGTGGCAAGGAGGCTTCGATTCTGATCTACATGACAAAGAGGTGCCGCCAGGGTAAGGAAACGCAGCGGCTGTGTGCGGGAATTCCCTGTATACGCTAGCACCTCGTCCCCGCTGAGAGGAAACGGAGGGCCTGGTGCTAGGGGCTGGCCGATGACCAGGCTGGGGAGGATGGAGCTGCGTGCCGCACCACTACACCTTGGCCTCGCTGAGGGGATACGGAGAGCCTGGCCGGCGACCAGGTTGGGAAGGACGGGCTTGCGCGCCGCGCTATCACCTCGGCCTCGCTGGGGGAAACGGAGGACCTGGCGCTATGGGCTGCCAACGAACAGGTTGGGGAGGACGGGGTCACGCGCCTATGCAGAGACGGAGGAGAGGAGGCAGCGGCGGCCTAGAGCTGGGCTGGGATGATTTCTTGGGGAAACCGTGAACCAACACCAGGCCAGCTACTTATAGCAACCAAAAGCAAAGAAAAAATAAAGATGAAGCCCACCAGAAAAGCCCAGAAGCCAACGTGTCGATCAACAAACTGCCAGTCTACAACGTGTGAGGCAGACGTGGCGGCATGCATGGCCCATGCAGCAATCAGACGAAATCTAGAAGGCCATTGATCGCCCGTCTGTCCTCCCTCCTGTGCACCATGTACGTCCATGCATGCAGTTCAATCGTCAGCTAGCGCGCAGCGCGGAATAATAAGGTGCGCCCTGCTTTGATCGAAAGCGCATGCATGTGAAAGCTAGCTAGCAGGTGCATGTGGATCATACACGGCGGCAGGGATAGCTGTATGTACCTATTTTACACGGTAGGGTACGTGCGCCAGTCTACAACGTGTGAGGCAGACGTGGCAGCATGCATGGCCCATGCAGCAATCAGACGAAATCTAGAAGGCCACCACAAAAGCTCACGTGAGATAGACCAAGGCATGCATGCCACGGCAGTCAAACAAATATATTAAAAAGAAAACGAAGGAAAGACTGCTGTAGGATGTACTGCACAGGAGGAGGTAACGTGTCGCTCAAATAGCATAGGTAAAAAAAATCCAAAAAATCCAGAAAAATGGAACCCTTACGGGCCTAGTATTCTTAGGCTAGATCGATTTGGAGATTTAATTTAGGCATCACAGATCAGTCCATGTCCATCAGGTGCGCCCAAGCAAACCAGATTTATTTAGGTCATTTTTCCAGTTCAATAATTGAATGGCTAGTGAATATAGTGTACATGTGCATCAATTCTTGAGTTAATTAACAAATTGCTAAATGTTTATCGCTCCATGGATGAATTCTTTAGGGAAGATAGTTGGTGTATTAGATCTATTTCATAATATTGCACGAAATACCACACATTTAGAGGCAATATAACTTAACTATGAATATGCTTTAGTTGTATTAATTTTCCAGTTATAAGAATTTTTAGATTGTGGGGCATCATTTGCATTTTGCACCGGGGTCCCGAATTTCTGGAGACGACCCTGCGGCGAGGCTTGAAGCTCTCTAGTGCCCTCCCCTTGAGTTTATTCAAGTGAGAGTTAATTAGCTACATGTCCATGGGAGTTTATATAGGCTAGGGGTACTTGAGAAGTTATCAAGACTGCCCTTGAAATGGTAGGTGGGGAGGTCAAAAAAGATAACCTTTGGTTCATAGGTCCATGGTGGACAAAGGGAGAGAGAGAAAGGGAGGGACAGAGAGGAGGCAAGTCCATAACCCTACAGTGGACCAATCACTCTCGTACCTCTGCCATGGTGGGCTTGAATCTTTACTTGGGCTTCTTTGCTCTCCTTTATCCATTTGACTTTGCATTCTTATGTATTTTTTATTTCTTGTCTTCTTAATCATGACAAGGGATTGGCTTGTGTTCACTTGGTTGTTCCTTGATAATCAACTTAGTGTGTGCCTTCTCGGGCTAAGTAGGAACCCGGGGTGTTATTGATTATTCCTACAACATTGTTATTTATTTATATTTATTCCATTTTCTCTTTCTTTTTGAATGGTCAACCAACTGATGATTTCAATGTTCAAGTAGTAGAAAAACTGATTTTAAAATCAAAAGATGCAGTAGAAGTATTTCTGCAGCCGTTCTACTGGTACACTACTAGCTATGCCCGCGCGGAGACACGCCGCGCCCCATCAATACATTACGTGTGTCGTGGTATTTTTATTTTGTGTGAGAATTTAGACCAAAAATACTTTTATGCACATATGTTTGTAGTCACGGAAACGAAAGTCATGCATTGAAGTAATTTGAAAAATATACATTTATCATCATCATATTTATATAGAAAGAAACACTCCAGAAATTCCGGAAGAAGCGGTGTCGAGAGTCTCAACACAACCACACCTTATGATTTTAGCGCGGGACGCAACTACGTGCATGGGAACATGTGGTCATATCATGCATCCATGCACACGTGGTCATATCATGCACCACGTTAGTTATCATGCAAAAGGTAGCAATGTAAGAAGCAAACCCACGGATCTCTACACCCACAAAGGGCATTTACAATGGGAGAGGGGCGCTTTTTTGGGGAGCTTAGAACATTATAAAAAAATTAACCAAGGAAGAAGCGCCGATGGAGAAGTCTGCCTACTAGAGCACTACCGTAGTCGGTTGAGGATCTGATGCGCTCGTTAGAAAGGATCACGTGAAAAAAAGGAGGCCAGGCACCCGACGACTGGCTTGGCATCCATGCCAGCTAGAATCCTGGGAACGTTCAGGATTTTTACGAAACGACCAGCAATTGGAACCTAGCGCCTTATCTTAGCACCTGCATTGTAGATACCCTAAACAACGAAACATGGATCACACATCAACAAACAATTGGCAATCCACCCAAGAAAATGTGCCCAACAAAATCCCTGAATAATTCAACATAGATTAGTCCAATGAACACAAACAGAAGTTCAAACACAAAAACCTCTTAAAAAAGCAAATCAAAGATAGACATATTCATTGAATGGTAAAATAAATTTTAGACAAACAAATACCTTTTTGTAAATAATAACCAAATGGAGAAAACAGGCAGCACAAATAAAACAAACAAAATGGTACAATATGTGATTTCAGTAAAAAAATTGTAGACAAATACCTGCATTGTAGAAGTTTTCACTAACCAAATAAAGCAATTGTATAATCAATTAACTAAATAGAGAGTCAAAGATAGACAGATTCATCGAGTGATAGAAGATTCATCAAGTGGTAGAATACAATTTTGACAGATAATTGCATACCAATTTAAAATAATAGCAAAATGGGAAAATTGTGCAGCACAAGTAAAACAAATAAACTGGTTACGATTTCAGTAAAAAAAATGTTGGTAGAAGTTATTTCACTAACTAAATGAAGCAATTGTATAATCAATTAAGTGCAAATAGGCATTGAACAATCAGTTGTATCAAGTAATACTCCTATTATGAGAGAAATTGATACTTAGTGGAAGAGATCCATGAATGTTTACAGCAATCTACAAATCAGATTCAGACTTGAGGGAAAATTATGTCTAGAAACTACATTTTATACCAATTTATTTAAGGAAGACCACACGTGTCCAAGATTGTCTATTATCTAAGCACTAAGCAAGTTTGGAGCATGATTTTGCCGAGACCTCCACAGATGTCATTTCATCACAAAAATTGGCACGCATGTGAAAGATACATAAATGTTTGTTGCCAAAAAGTTTCAGATTTTTTGATTTCTAAAAAGATTGATTTTACTGTAGCAAAGGGTGCATGTGAGCTCGAGCTCACATACTCCATGCCCCTATACATACACATACACACGTATATATAACTTCTAGAGTTGTAATCACACCAGGAATAAATCAAGTAAACAACAGCCACGTAACATGCCCATGTTTTTTTCTCTTCAAAGAAGTGTCAGGAGCTCTGTCATTTCTATTAGGATGAGTGAGAAATAGTATATAATCAGACTACAGATACGGCAGGCTTTAGAAAGCACACGAAAAGCGGCACCGATTAAAGAAAATGATATAGTCAAAACGACAGCGACAAGAGAGGGAAGCACACAGAAGAAACAATGTCGTAGGGATTGTTCCCCAGCCAGCAAAAAACACTAAACTTACCAAGCAAAACTGTACGCTAGTTCAAAAAATTTGAAACAAAAATCTAGGCACACCACTCATTTCTACACAGCCATATACCAAAATAATACATGTGCCATATTCATATATACCCATGGGCCATTTTCAGCCAAGTGGTTTAACCTTAGAGCAAAAACTTGGTTAGATATAGTGGTTTTGGTATATAACAAATTAACAGCTACTCCTCCGTTCAAAATTAATTGAAGATTTATGTTTGTCTGAAGTCAAACTTAAGTTTGACCATGCATACGCAAATGTGTACTGAGATCTACTCCCTTTGTTTCAAAATAGATGACCCAACTGTGTACTAACTTGAGTACAACATAAAAATATTGGTGCATTTTTTTGTAGACTTGGTCAACTTAAACAAGTTTGACTTAAGACGAGCTAAAACTTAAATTAATTTGGACCTGAGAAACTCCTTATACCAAGCAAATGAGTTGTATTTGTACCTGGGAGGCTGATGATACGTTTCTTTGTTGCACATCGGTATGTCCCCGGCATATTAATGCAGGTCCCATGCACACATGGATAAACTGGCTGTTGGCACTCATCGATATCTAGAAGGGAGAGGAAAAGGGAGTAAACAAAAAAGGAAAGCTCAAAACCAGGGTGACGTTGTAAATAAAAAAATGTAATGATGTTTATCAAGTAAGTTTCAAGTGCAGTTGAATCCTCAATAAGATTAACACAAAGGCTATAATTCATGGTACATTACAAAATCAACAAGATAAAAGGGAGGAGAAAAAGAAATACTCCCTGCAGGAAGCAATGGAACCACTGTACTAAACCACGTCACTTATTTTAGGACGGAGAAGTAGTATTTAGCAGAACTCAGGTATCAGTCATCAACCGCTAGTTGAATTCAAAGTTGATTCTAAGATACTACTATAAGAAAGCAATGGAACCCTGTTAGTCGATATCGACGTGACTAAGGGCCTGATCGGAAGCCCCCCAACTCCGCTCTGTGCCAACAGTGCACGTAGAGCCAGCTACGAGAAGTAGTGTTTGGCCGTAGTGTATTTCCGAGAAGTTGGAGAAGCTGGCAATTTCCTGCGCCCCGGAATCCTCAGAAATGCGGAGTTGGCAAAAATTCCTCCCCACTGCCACCGATAAATGGAAAATGAACGGCTCGGTAGGATTTAGACTAAATTACGATGGAATGCCACCCTCTCCCTCATGTTGTTCCTCTCGTCATCCTACGTTACCCTAGCGCAGCCGGCGCCACCATCCCACCCCCACGCCCGCTCAACCGAGGCCACCCAGTGTCTGCTGAGCCGCCACCTGAATGATACCCAACCCCACACAGTCACCCTGGTTCGCCCACCGTCCCAACTGGAGCACGCCAACGACATAAGGGGCCTAGTTGCTGCCATGGCACAGCTCAGGGCGACGCGGGGACCGCGATGCCTCGCTGCTTGGCAACCATTGGCCGCCCCCGCTGCGTGCTGCAGGAACTGTATGTAGGAATCGCCGCTGCATGCTACAGGGTATGTAGGGAGGTGAAGGGAGAAGTACCAGCCACCGGATGAGGCGACATGAAGGAATCTCGGACGCCCATAGTTTCCCTTCGAACTGGCGAGGCGCCGAGGCCTGACCTCTCTTATCCTCTCTCCAACTAGGCATAAGGGCTCTCTCCAGGCAGGCCAGCCAGCCTGTTAGCACAAAGGATCGGCTGGATTTGTGCTAACCGGACAGGTGGAACTCCTCGACAGAAGCCAGTGCACGGCACACGGCGCTGGATTTGAGGGTTTTGTCAAGATGTTTGACATATGAACAGGCTCTAAAGCAACATAGATCAAGTTACACATGGCGTAACCCTAAAAAAAGTTACACATGGAGTACATTTGCAGAGGTGATTGCGTCACACCCTTTGCCACATGGGGCCTTTTTTTATTAGTGTCTGTTTTTAGAGGTGTTGGTGATATCGTGCCAAAGAGCGCAAGGCAGGCGGCGCAACGGACCCCTACCTTCGGCAAGGAAGCAGCACGGTACCTCCCCACTCCCCTGCCCCACACCCATAGTGGCAACAAAAACCAAAAACCATCAGTGCTGCCTCCTTTCACACATGCGTCGACCACAAAGGCAACTAACCATGCCCATTGCATGGTACCAGTGCGGACACATGAGACACAAAGAGCCACACACACATGCAACGCATACATGCAAGTGGGCCTAACAACCCCTACATAACCAGATCACTCACTCACAGTCGGGTCCTAAGTGGTGCCCCAGCCTAAATGCATCACAAGGCTTCCTTTCTACTTCCCTCCGTTCAAAAAAACTTGTCCCTCAAATGAATGTATCTAACACCGAGTTAGTGTTAGATACACCCATTTGAGGAACAAGCTTGGGACAAGCTTTTCCGGACGAAGGGAGTATCCATCAAGTGCCTGGTCCGGCGACAGGCATCTGGCACTGGCAGCACAAATGAGAGAGCATGAGGTCTCGCTTGCCCCCAAGGCCGTTCGCGCAATACACAGCAGACAGTAACATAGTGGTCCAAATAGGCTATGACACTAGCGATGATGTTGCATTCCATATCTCACGGCTAGCTAGAAACCAGCTGTGCTTCGTGGAGACTATCCGGGGCCTTGTGGCCAGCAGACGGGAATAAACACTTGTGCCATCGGCCAGGCATATGTTAACCACTTCCACACCAGCGATAGCTTCCATGGATCATCTCATCGCCCGTGTGGTTTAAGCCCCAGGCTTAGGCACCCTTGCTGGAAGCCGAAAGCTAGGAACCAGAGCTGCTAATGTGGCCACTATAAGCCGAAGCATCAGCCCTGCAACTGCAACAACTATGCTTTTCTGGACGGGGTAATGGAAAACAACATCATCTTGCAAACGTAAGTACTAGCTAGTGGAGTATATCTTTGGCACAAGGAAAATATGTCTAGTCAATGCCCATTTTACTTATTCTTGTTTAATGAAAGGAAGGTGGCATGGTTAGCCAGTGAAGATGTGAAAATCTAGTTGCCTGACTTGTCTATGCCTATAGGCTATAGTAATAATTCGGGAAGGCCTGTTGTTTCAAAGAAAATAGGCTATAGTGATGTTTGTCAGTTTGTGGACTGGAGGCATCGGTCACTTGGTCGTACCGTGCCATCCTGGGCATAATCAGTGGCCTGACAATCTTGTGTTTTATTTGGAAACTCATGTCCAACTTGTCTATGCCTATAGTGACCTTCGCAGACCGGAGGCATCGGTCGATCGCTGTGTTGGTCAATTGGTCTTACCGTACCATCCCGGGCAAGGAGATGGCCACAAACTGCTTCGGTGGTTCAAGTCCAACCAGGCAATCAGAGTTTCTATGACCAGAGAAAAAGGAGACCTCAATGCTGCTCAGCCTCGCCCTATCTAAACGGTATCAATAGTTTCGGTAACCCACCCAACATACCGCATGGACTAGATTAAAAGCACAAGGGCCACTAATCTTCGATCCCTTTCGAAATTTGTAAGGTGGACTGAACTGCCATATGTGAAGCTATTTTGTTGCAAATCTCTTGCACAACGGAGGTGCAAAAAAAATATTGGAAGGGGGAGAACAAAGGAGAGTCGGCACTCGGCAGAGTGGCGTTACCTTGGCATCCGTGAATGATGTAAGGGTTGCCTTCGTATCCATCCGAGCAGTTGCACCTTACCTTGTTCACTCCACCGTCGATGTTTGCAGCGGAGCTGTTCAAGCTCATGCATCTCCAACCTGATACAGAATGGGGATCCAACACGACCAAGTCACGGTCGCTTTTTTACATCCAGCCACCATTCCAGCACGGTGGGTACCCTGGTCACCTTGGGACTGCTCCGACGAGATCGATACGCGCTTCCGAAATCACCGAAAGTGCTATTCTGCATGGCGCCTACGTTACTCCCGGTGAACCACTGGCGATCGACAATGAAGGCTTCCCCGGACAGAAGGCGTGAACTGACGGGTTTGCCTTTGCCTGCGTACGCGGCTTCAGTCTGGTTCAAATCCTTGAGCTGCACCCCGTACGCGGGCAAACCCTGCGAGATGGTCGTCCGGCAGCAGCCGACGCCCGAGCACGAGGTGTCCCCGGGTGGCGGATAATCTGAGTCACACAGCGTGGCGCATGCGCTGACGTACACGGAACCCCGGTCACTGCCTGCAGCGAGGTAGCCGATGAAGTTGCATCCGATGGCCACGAAGACGTTGTGCTCGGCCGACACCGTTAGGCCGCCAGACCACGAGCCGTCGTAGCCAATATAGGGCTTCCCAAACAGAACGCTCCTGTTTCGGTTAAGCGCTTGGTATGGCACGTTCCTGTAGTCCCACTCGCCGTTCACGATCTTGCTCTGGACACGCACCGTGCCGCCCACCAGTGAGATGGCGTCCACTTCCACGTCGTTGTGCAAGAACAGCTTCGGCTGATGGCCCGTCTCGTCGCAGGTGAGGTTGAAGCCCTTGTGAAAGCAGCCTTGCCGGAAGCCAAAAGGGTAGGGGACGGTGACGCCGCCACAGGCCTCCGGGCAGCCAGGCAAGGCTAACGGGGCAGCGGCGACTGTTGCCACGAGGAGCTCAAGGGCCATCAGTACTATTAACATCGGCACGAGGAGATTTTGCCTGTTGCTGTGGGGAAGGAACGGAGGGGAGGAGAAGGGTCATCTTCTCCTGCAACTTGAGCATGCTGTAAGGAATCATCTTCTCCTCTTATATTATATATATAGAAGAAACAACCTCACTAGTTGCCTTTGGTCTTCTCAGTAGACTTCAACGCCGGCTAGGTACACGGATATAGACTAATCAATATAAGCATGTTGCATGTCAGGTAGCTGAGTTAGAACAATCCTCATGCTACAGATTCTTTGGTAAGGAAAAGTCTATGCCGTGGTAAGAAAGGTAGGGGAAACGAGTGTGGCATAATCAGTGATGTGACAAGCTTCTGTTTTGTGTGGAAACTCAAACTCGTGTCCAACTCGGCTACTGTTGGTCAGTGGTCACACCGTGCCATCCGGGTTCGGTGGATGGGGTGTGTTGGGCAGGTTGAAGCCCTCGTGGAAGCAGCCTCGCCCAAGGTTTCCACTCAACCAGGCAATGGCAATTTCGAATCTATATCTATACTACTATTAATAATAATTATAATAATTATAATAATATATAATATATAATAAATATTAAAAGAGCAAACTTAAATTACCCTATAACCACACCAAAAAATGTACACAGGATTACCAGGGGCGTCCGATTAATCCCACTAAGTCACATCTAACAGTCTATATTACATCAAGGTTTCATCATACAAATAAAAGTCCCAGATTAAATGTTCTGCCGGCAGACAATCCTGCGTATGCCCTGCCCCTCCCCTCGCGCGCAAATCATGCCCCAGATTAGCACGCCCACCAGCGCCCCTCCCCTTTGGATCGCCACCAGCGCCCCTCCCCTTCCGGCCGCCGCCACGCCCTCCTACGCGCCGGACCGCCACCCCACGTTCCTCCGCACCAGGCCGCCGCCACGCCCTCCTCCGCACCGGGCCGCCTCCCCACGTTCCTCCGCACCAGGCCGCCGTTGTTGCAGTTCTCCAGGATCCAAGACCAATCGACTAAGGGCTTGGAGCTGGCCGCGAGAAGGTGCTCGAGGTCGGATCTCCATCTCCATTTGTGATGTGTGCTCTGGTGCCATTGAAGCAGAATCCCGTGCTTCCCAAATTGGTGGGTCTTCTCTTTCCTCCCTTCTTTCTCCAATCTCCACCCCCAACCCGTTGGTAATTCTAGACGATGATGCATACTTCATGAAATTAAGTTGGTAACGTATTGAAGATGTTTGGTTCACTGTGTGTGAAATATCTGATTGGTACAGAAGCTGCTTGTGCACGTCAATCTAAGTCGTATTTTATATTCAATGTTGTTTGTTCAGATAGTAATGCACAAAGTTCGGCGTCTGCTGTTCTGGGTTCAGTGCTAGCAGATCCTGCAATGTCTCAATTTCAGTTATCCTATCATCATTTGGGTCTAGCAAAATTATGTTCATGCCTACATCTATAGTAGCCCCATCAGTTACTTCCTTCAGAGTTGTAACTTACAATGTAGATTGTTAGTGCTTATATGCTTAGTATATATGGCTGTCATGGTAATATTCATGCAGTATGTAGGACACGATTGGAGACTCTGGAATTTGCATTCATTCAACGATTATTATTTTTAGATCAGTACATGTTGTGATTGATGATGGTGGAAATTGGAGGGATTCTATTTACTTATTTTTGCGAGGAGGAATTATCTCCAAGGTTGCCCTGTTGAGGTATTAATTATTGTAGATTATAAAAAAACAATGCATTTAACAAAGTGTTCTTGTTTAGGATGAGCTAGCAGGCAACAAGCCCAAGTACTATAGATTATCCTATGCATTTCCTTTATTAACAGAAATTGGCAATTCTATAATCTGTCAGGCATTACATCTCTGTTTTGCGCAGGAAACTTCAAAAATTAGGCTTTTCTTTGTAAATGAATTCTCAAGACTGGTTTGATTTCTGTTCCTTGGTCACAAAATAGTCATGGGATTTCATTTGAATGGTTATTCCTGAGATTATGCTGAACTAAATATGAGCGGTTCAGTGTGGTGTTTGGTTCGAATGGCGAATTTGGTGCGGTATTTCTGCAGGAGTTTCTGAATCTAAAGCAAGGGTGAGCGCCAAGGAAGGAGACGCCGCCACGGGCGACGGTGGCGGTGCTGACCGCTGGCGGCCGCAATAATTAATATTGTTCCTCAGATCCACCATCATTATGCTGCTGCACAATCTGACAAGGAGAAGTCTTATGCGGCGCATATTAACACTTACCGAGGTGAAGACCCATTGTTGATGAAGTACTTGCTAATTGACCCATCCGGCACCCAGCTATTTGATCTTATTAGGGACGGTGTCCTGCTCTAGTGAGATGGCTTTCTAGCTAGCTACAGGTTGTATGCTCATTTACTCTTTGAACAGAAATTGTTTGTGAGCCGTAGCTGATGTTTATTCATTGATCAGTAGGTTAATCAATGTAGCTGTATGTGGAACCATTGATGAGAGAGCAATAAATAAGAAAAGAGTTCGTAACCCATGGGAGAGGAATCAAAATCACATGATGTGTCTCAACTCTGCAAAGGACATTGGATGTACTGTTGTCAACATTGGTACGCAGGATTTAGTGGAAGGAAGGGTATGTCTTTCCCCACTTGTTATCCTTTCTTGATGTAGTGTCATTGGTATACAAATGTTCCAGAGCTCTGAACTATCCTTTTCGCAGTAACTTAAATCATGACGTCTCCCTTTAATTCTGTCATATCCTGTATCGTGATATTAAATATTGCTGTGATGAATTGGCAGGTAAATTTAGGTACCAAATACTCTTATCATTACTCTTATCAGTCAATATTGTTTAAGGCCCAAATTTTTGATTGAACTTTTGGTCAGTTTCAAATATTTGTTCATCATATTCAGGTCCAAAGATATGTAACAACCTATTTGAGCAAGTTGGAAACACATTCGGATCAGGATTAGTACATCATGCATCTGCTATCTTATTTTGCGTTTGTAATTGTAATAGATGTCTCCAGCTTCAGTATGCTGTTAGTGACCCACAAAAAAAGTATGTTGTTAGTTTACCTCAAGAACGCTTTAGGTTTGGTGGAAAGGAGAGAGAGAGAGAGGCTGAAAAGAAAAAACTTATGGAAGTGGCACAGGCCAAATTGAGCGCCAAGGTACCCAAAGAGGGGGGCACCCATAGTTAAAATGTTGTGGTCTTAGTAACATCAAGAATCTGTCATAATTATTGGCTTTCGCTATTCACTCGCTGGTTAGCCCATAGTCCAGAATCAGCTAACACTTTTTTGTGCTCCAGTTTTGGGCCATCATATTTCCCCGAGAATCAAGGGAAAGGAAGAGGAAAGTAAAATGTTGATACATGATCTGTTGCAAGTGTTTACGTCGCGCAGGTTGGTTCAGTCTATATGATTTGGCTACACAACATCTTATTTGTAAGAAAACACAAGAACACACTTCTGTGTGTTGTGTAATATGTTGATAGATCTGTGGTTAGGGAGCAGACTTGGATTACATGGTTTCTCCTTTCAGCCCGCTTGCATGTTTGTTAATGTCCATCTTTTTTTAGTTATCATGCAGAAACTTTAATCTGTTGTGCAAAATACATTTCTTCAGAGAAACCGTTGGTTGTGTGCAGAATATATTTCTTCAGAAAATGTGTTATTGTGCAGAAACTACAATGAAGTTGTCGGGGAGAAGATCCAGTGAACAAAGCTACATCGAGTTAGGTCAAAGTGACTGGTACGTTTTCCTGATCTGCATCCTATTTCAATGTATTTCTGTTAGTAAGCACATTTTAATTCTTTGAAGGCATGTCGTATAATTATCCATAATAACGTATTGTGGGTTTTGTACATATTCAGGTCCTTGAAACGGTCTATTGTGCATCGAAAGTCACGTTCATCTCTGGGAAATTTCACCGCAGCCTCCGTCGTACATGTGCTTCGATCTATTTTCGTATTCTTTTCTTGGATGTTTGACAAATGCTTCACAAACTAAGCTCATGTTAAACATGCACAACTATGTAAGATAGTTTCACCTCTCTTATGTACTTGCAGATTGACATCCATTGCCAATTTATATTGTTTCTAAACTGAAAAAATGATGCCCTTGTTCACCGATTATCTATGAACTGAGATGATGCCCTCATGTAC